CACTTAGTAAAAATTTAGCGAAACTAAAGGTTTTACCATTTTGTCAAATCCAAAATGAGTTTAGACAAGCAACCTTACTTTGAATGAATAAAATTAAACTGACATTGCCTATGATTAGAAGGATTTTTAAAAGAAGATATTAAAAAAGAAGAAATTGAATATGCTAAATCACCTAACACATAATCTTCATCTTAAATATATGCTGTTTTATAAAGATAAAAATCTGAATTGCTATAAACTCGTGCATTATTTATTGATCTAGACCATCCTATTACATAATTAATAAAAATTCCTTTAAAATCAACAATTCCTTAACATTAAATTGCATATCTTTTTTTCTTTGTAAAGTATGCTATTGGATTTTGTGTTGGTATCTCAGTTAAAATAAAATGAGTTCTATTTATAACTTCTATAATATTTTGAAATCCACTAATATTTTGAAATCCTATATGAATAACACTTCGATTATTGTCTTTAGTCCATTGAATAAATTCTGATTTTTTATTTTTTATTACTTTCATTACATGATTAATATAAAGAATTACAGAACCTTCTGATACTTCAAATTGAGAATAAATACTCATAATATCATCTTTAGAACTAAGTTGTCGAAGAAATATTGCTAATTAAAAATCAACAGATATTTGTAACTTATTTCCTTTGTCTGTAAATACTATATCATGCTATAAATTTTGTACTAGCCTATTAAATTGTTGTTTTTCCATTCTTAATACTTTTTTATATTATATATCATTATATAAAGGTAAGATTTCATATCACCAATATTTAGATTTAACAAACAATATTATATGTTCGAGAAACAAGATAATGACTAGAAGACAAAGCAAAAAGAACTATTTTTATTAGTTCATAGTTATCATCATTTAGTTCATTTAGGTTTAGTTCATTTTTAAAAGAATCATTTATCTCCTTCATTATTAATAAGAATAAAGCATAGTCTGCATCGTGTTTAATTGACATGATTGGTTAAATTTAAAAATGAAATAGATCAACTCAGCATTTATCTTGCCATTTTTTAATTGGTCAAAATAATTTCATGAAAATCAAATCAGATCAAAGTGAAAAAGAAAGAAACAGGGCTAATGTTATAGGAAGACTTTCATATGATTGGCTATTGCAGATCAATTTAAATCAGGTATTATTTATACAGTTTAAAGTACTTTTTTGAAAAATGGAGTTACATTAAGTAAAAAAAATCTTACTATTACTTCTTTGGAATGCTAACTAACTGCCTACAAAAATAATCCAAAATAATCTCACTTTCAAAAGAGTTTGCTTATAGGTGGCATTTCTATAATACGAAGCTTAAAGTTCTTTAAATTGTTATAAAACTTGTTTTAAAAATTTTTAGTAAAGAGTTACAAATTTATATTAAAAAATAAAGAAATCTGTATACTTTCTGAATATATGAAAAGATAAAACCAATAATTTATTATATTTTAATATTTGCCTTTCATTGCTTTTTGTTACTTTTATGAAATTAGTTATTATATTATTATATTATTTGTAATTTTATTAGTTCTATATATGTTCTCTATATGTTGAAATGTCTCGTTACGGATTGTAATATATTTAATTGTTTTATTATTGGATAGTTTTTTTGTCAATCGTACTTATTATAGAAATGATGATTAATTTTTTCAACCAATTAGAAGAAAGTCTTCCTATGAGAGCTAATGGAAAATTTGAAAGCTTTATCGCATTAACCAATAAGAGCCTGGGGTAAATTAGTAAATCCGAGATTTTGTGTCTGTCGGATTACCCTAGTATGGATATATTTATAATTCAACCCCGGATCATCGATCGGATTTAAAAAGCTTAATTTTCGCGTTCTTAGTTTTTTTCGCATTTTTTTTTTATATTAAGAACCCTCATATACGTTAAACTCTGAACGTAATTTTTTTTTTATTAAAATAATATTTTCGCAAGTTGACACCCAGTCATGAACACTTCCATAAAATATTCCGCCTGTTCCAGTAAATATTGCAAGCGACATTTAACGTGATATATAAAACTCCAGTCTCTACAGTATTTAATGTTTTTTTTTTTCTTAGTTCTCTTCTCTTATCTGAAGAAATACTCAAATTGGTCTTATCACGTATTTCTGAAGGTGTGTCACGAAAAAATCGTTGATTTATCATTTTCGAAAAACTGGCATGACCTTGACGATTCTTGGGCCAGTCAATTCTTGGAAGAGGCAGGAAATTTATTGGAAGAAGAGTATGAAAAGAAGTATTTGAAAGAAAAGGTGCGTTTTTTTATTTTGCAAAGGAAGGGCAACTCCTAGTTGGCTCTCAGAAACAGTGTTGGTATTTTTTATCTTGGATATTCCATTCTTGAAAGCTGGCCAATTTACAACACTACTACTGAGGGGTTAATCAGGAGAATTACTGTGTTGACAGACTTGGTATCCATTCCAAAGGTCTCAATTCCGGCGCCCTAACTTTGTTTGCTGGTAAAGGTCTGCCGATTCTGGAGGAGGAACCGGCTATGTGCCTTCCTTTATCACTAAATATAAACTTGTCCACTCTAACAATCTTCTATCTTACAACAGATAGATAAAGAACGTTTGCGTTACGTGAAATATTTGCAAGCATTTTGGCTGGGAGTGATCGAAGAATGTGTAAAAGTAAGTAAAATATTATGAAATTCTTGTGTAAGTATAATTTAATAAGCTAAATTTATTTATTACATAGAATTCCAAAAAAAGAAAACTGGTTGAAGATAAACCATCAAAGAAGAATCGAAGCGATATTAGTTGGGTTCGTGGGGATGTGCCTGCTACTGAACATGCCATTATGGTAAGAGTTAGAAAAGATGACACCATTGGCGAGTTAAAAGATATGATCAAAGAGAAAATTGATACTCCTGTCAAAGCAAAAGACATTAAACTCTGGAAGATCGAAATACCAGATAATAATGATGATGAATTAGCAAATTTCTCTCTTCAAGACCGTGATATACTTCCTGCAACCCAGGAAATTGGTGACTACTTGAACAATATGCCACTCAAGTGACATATTCATGTTATCATAGTTTTGTCCGGTAAGTGGTAGTAAATTAAAAAAAATTAATGAATAAACCTTATTTTAATCAATACTTAAAATAGAGGACCATACAGAAGAATGGAAAAAATGCAATACGAACTCTCTGAGAAACGGTATAAACTGTCTTCTCAATGATCATAATGTCGATAAATTGTGTTTATACATTGAGCCGAAATTGAAGGAATTGATCAAGAGAGGAAATCTATATGATGATAGAGAGTTGGTTACCAAAGTATTATTCCATGCTTTGCTTTTAGACATTCCAAATCACTTGGTTGATACGGAGGTTCCTATTAATGTTTACCACAATAAAGTGAAAAAAAACAACACTCTTTATGCTGATTTGCTGATAGTTGAGGTCAATAATGCAAAGAGGAATCGGTTTATATTCGAGTTTAAGAATAAAAGTGTCAACTTCTTGGATTTGCAAATTAAAGGTATGTTTTTACATTCTTGGTACTATCTTTTTGTTAGCTCCTCTTATGCTTACTATTATTTTTTGAATTGTATTTCCGAATCAGGCAAAGATTCTAACTGGGAAGTAATGGAACGAAGGGCAAACAAAGTTGATAAAATGTCAAGAAGAGATGTGCTTCAATTGAAATGTGGCAATGCAGAGAAATTTGATAATGGCAAGACTATAAAGAAAATCTTTAATGGTGCACGGGAACAACTCCTGAAGTATGTTCACAATTTAAAAGAAGATGATCGTCAAAATCATCGCGAGTTTATCACTTCGGCATTTGTCGTGATGGCAGTAGGTTCGAGAAAGTTGATATGGGGAAAAATTAGTTAAATACTCAAAAAGCTGTAAAGATATATATATTATTCGAGAAGGTATTTTCGCAGCAGCACGAATGTTTGGGATATTTCTCGGTTAATTTTGCCGGTGGCCTTCATGAGTTTGCTGATTCTCAATTTGGTCACATTTTCGTTATGGAGAGAATCGTCAACAATCTCGAAAGAATATGATAGTCACGCTTAAGGAGTTGTCGATTCGTAGGGATTTTAGAACCACAGTGGAATATTTAGTCAAAATTGCTTGAAACCCAAGCTTTCGAAGAAAATAGTTTTACAACGGGATGGTTGGACACGCTAATATTTGATGAAAATCTAACGGCCGAAAAGTCTTGTTTTGTCACATTCCAAAGTTGAGGCAAAGGATAATCTGATATTACATAATTTAGATCAGGTTAGGCCCGCACAA